ATTTCAGTGGCATGAATCTGGTAATCAGCCTCTTCTGCAGTCCAGTCTTTGAGTGTAATTAAAGACTCGACCCTTTTGTTTTCTTTTACCAGCGAATGTATTGGGACAATAATTTCTCCGCCAGTTTTTCAAAAATGATAGTGTACAAAGTTCCCGCTTGTAAATCCGCCGCTCGATCGTTTTCATGAAGATTAATCACTGCCCGCTCAAGCATGTCTGCAAAGTTTTCCAATTCTTTGGCATTTTTTTCTCTGATTGGTTTCATTTTGATTAATTTTGATTATAACTCATCTACATGACACTGAATTTCCCGTCGGTTTTTACCGTTTTTTACATCGACCTAGCACCTCATAAGCAGTCTCCGAATATCCTAAACCTTTAACCGTTTCTAAAGCTTCACCCGCTAAACACGCCTCCAATTTCAACATTTTGAACTGAGCAGACATTGCAGTTGCATCTACACAACTCGTAAACGTTGCGTTCCAGTGCTGAAATTCAGTTTTGTTCCCACTAAATGTCGGAATGCGAATTCTTTCTAGGTTGTTCAACCCACTATCACCATTTCGATGTGGTAAACTTGTGTTAGAGTTACTTGAGTAAGATGTTGGACTTACTGACCGTGTGTTCCATGGAAACGAAATCAGGACACTATGAATGGTGCTAGTTTCATCTTCAATTCTTTCGTTTGATTCGTCCGCTTCATCCTCGACTTTAAGTTGCATTTCAGTGTTCCTTAACTCCTGATACAATGTCCGTAATTCTTCCAGTATTTCGAAAGTTTTTACCTTAATCTTTTCCAGACGCTCCAAAGTAGCTTTAATTTCTTTAATTTCTTCAGAACTTATTGGTTCAACGCCGCTGCTGACGCCAGCAACCCGACCCGCTAACTCGTTTAGCTGTCTTGTTATCGCCCCTTTTAATTTCCGTTTTTCCGCCTTTAAAGCTTCCACTTTCGACATACGTTCTTCGGTGGTATCTTCTTCATTGTCCAACATGTTTCGACTGATATCCTTAGTAAAATCCACAAATTTTCCTTACTTTTGATGAAAACAACACTGCTGTCAACGCGTTACACGAATCCTCCACGTCCAAGACCGTTTCCCTTTGAATAGTCCAACGTTTAGTCCACTTATCCGGCTCGAAGGACCAGAAAATGTTTCTCCTTAGGTTTCTAAATTTTCCCTATCCAAACTCCCAAACTTGTTAAAAAATTCCGTAAAGGAAACAACGAAGAAAAACCACATAAAATTTTTTTCTTTCTTTTTATGGCTTCAGCACACCTCCCGTCAACCTGGTCTTTATTTTTAAAACTGTCAATCAATAACATAACTCAGTAACACAACTTCCGGTAAGACTAACTTCCGGTTCGCTGTTTTTCCCTTTTTTTAAAATTATTTTAGAAAATGAGAGAACAGAAAATAATCCTTAACAGTCAGTGCTGCGCGAAGAGCTTGCTTGAATGTCTGTACAAAAGGTTCAGCGCTTCCATTTGTAGTTGGGTGATATGGCGCTGACCTTCTGTGTTTGATACCGTTGTTCCTCATGAATCTTCTGAATTTGTCTGATGTGAATTGTGGGCCGTTATCACTGACCAGTTGTTCTGGTAATCTGTGTGTCGCAAACAGCTTTCTTAGTTCCTGAATTGTTCTTGCAGCGTTTGTAGTAGTCATTGGTATTACTTCGGGCTATTTTGAGTGGCTATCCACGACGACGCGAAACATTGTTCCCAAGAATGGTCCCGCAAATCTACGTGGATACGTTGCCATGGGCGTGCTGGCCACTTCCATGCGTGAAGTGGGGCGGTCTTCAGATTGTTCTGGGTGAGTTGACAGCCAGTGCATCCTTTTGCTGTTTGCTCGATTTCCTTGTCCATTCCTGGCCACCAAATGTAGCTCCTAGCCAACGCCTTCATCCTTACGATTCCGGGGTGACCTTCATGGAGTTCTAACAACTGTGCCTGGTACTTAGGTGGAATTATTACTCGAGAGCCCCACATAAGGCAACCATCCTGCAGTGTAAGTTCATCCTTCCTTCTGTGGAATGGTTCCAATTCTTTTTTACTGACTGGTGGCCACCCTTGTCTCGTGTGTTCTACCACACGTGATAATACCGGATCTCTTTGGTTGCTTGACGAATCATATCTGCATTAACTGGCAGCACTTCGAGCTTTGACACTTGAAATCTTTCCGCTGGATCAGCTACTTCCTTGTTGTACGCCTTTTTCAAGGGTATGTGTGATAGTCCATCCGCGTTTCCATGTTGGGTGGTGTTTTTGTACTCAATGCTGTACTTCAATCCTGCTAGGAACAATGCGTAGCGTTGTAAGCAGGCAACTGTCATGGCTGGTATCCCTTTCTTGGGGTTAAGAATTGAGGTCAGAGGCTCATGATCTGTGACCAGCGTGAAATAGCGGCCGAACAGGTCAGTAGAGGTGGAATTTCTTGACTCCCCAAACCAAGGCTAAGGCTTCCTTGTCAATCTGGGAGTAGTTCCTTTCTGCCTTCGTAAGGAAAAGGCTTCCTGGCACGCTGCGCACCACTTCCATGGCTTGCCTTGTTCTAAGAGCCTGTTTAGGGGGCTGAGGGTGGTTGCGAGGTTGGGTAAGAACTTATGGTAATAGTTTACCAATCCCAAAAATGAACGGACTTGTTGAACGTTCTCTGACCTAGGGGCATTGACGACGGTATCAACTTTCTCTCGAGTCTTGTGTAGTCCGTATTGGTCCCCTTTGTGTCTGCAGTAGGTGATCTTCGTCTGGAAATACTCGCATTTCTCGCGATTTGCTCTTAGGCCATGTTCCTTAACCTCTTAAGTGTTTCCTCCAGGTGGGCGAGATGCTCTTCGTCATCTTTTCCTGTGATTATCATATCGTCTAAGATGCAGCTTGTTCCTTCTATTCCTTCTAAGATTTGATCCATTAATCTCTGCCAAATGGCTGTGGCTGACGTTATCTCAAATACCAGGCGATTGTATCGGTACAATCCTTGATGGGTGTTGACTGTCGGGTACTCTTGTGACTCTTCCTCCAACTCCATCTGATGGTATGCCTGTCTAAGGTCGATTTGGTGAACTTCTTCCCCCCTGCCAGCTTAGTAAATATGTCGTCAATGCGAGGGAGAGGGTGCTCCTCTGACTGCAGTTGGGGGTTTACTGTGATTTTATAGTCACCACAGATCCTTACTGTACCGTTTGGTTTGACGATGGGTACAATAGACATCGCCCAGTTGCTGAAGTTGAGTTTGCTCAGTATTCCTTCTTCTTCTAAACATTTCAGCTCAACTTCAACTTTGGGTTTCAAGGCGTATGGAATAATAGGTCTTGCTTTGTAAAACTTGGGTTGACTGTTTTCCTTAAGTGTTAGTTTTGCTTTGGTGGACTTGAGTGTGCCAATTTCGTTTTGAAACACCGCACTGTACTCGTTCAGGAGTTTCTCTAATTTCTTTTGGGTTTTCTTGTGGTGGCTTCTCTTTTGAAATAGCGCAGATCTGTTTCCAGTCGAGTTGTATCTGATGCAGCCAATCTCTTCCAAACAAGGCTGGGCCTTGTGTCTCTACCACCTACAATGTTAAGTTCTTAACCTGATTGTTGTGTTCCACACGAACAAGGAGTTTTCCTTCTGGTTTCATCTTCTCTCCTGAGTAGGTTTTCAAAATGGCTTTGGTGTCCACCAGTGGTGTGTCTGCGAACATTTCCTTGTATTTCTGCAATGGAAGTGTGGATATTGGTGGGCCCGTATCGGGTTCCATTTTCGGGGTGTGTCCGTTGATCTTTGGGGTAACCCAGATGACCTCACCAGCTGTTACTTGGTTGACATTGTTTAGTTCTAATGATGCCACGAGGCTGTCATCATCACGTTCATCACTCATCTCAAAAGAATGCAGATTGGGTTTATCAACTTTTCTTCGTTGGGTAGTGTTCTGATTTCTTCCAGAGCGGCAAACTTGTTGGATGTGGCCCAGTTTTCCACATTTCCGGCATGTTTCATTCTTGAAGTAACACTCGGATGATTCATATGTAGTGCCACTGCATTGATAACAATTATCACAGGGCTTCGGCTTCACATTTTTTACTACCCTGTTTACTACCCTACCCTCTTTACTACCCTGTAACTCTAAGGTATCTTTTGCCGCAGCTTCCATGGCAAATGCAATTTCCGTCGCTTTTGCTAAGGTCAACTCTGGTTCGGAGAGCAATTGTTTCTGGATAAGTTCACTGTGTAATCCACACACGAGTCTATCCCGTATTGCATCATTTAAGCTCGCTCCAAATTCACAATACAGTGTCAACTTCTTTGATTCAGCAATGTAAGTACTTATGGTTTCACCTTCCAGTTGGTTTCTCTTGTGAAAGCAAAATCGCTCTGCGATGAGCAGTGGTTTTGGAGAAAGATGTTTCTGTAGAGTTTCCACGATGGTTATGAGAGACAGGCTGGATGGTTTCACTGGGGCAGAGAGGTTTCGTAATAGCCCATACGTTTTGTTTCCCATTAGGCTGAGCATCACTGCCACTTGTTTGTCTTCTTTAATTTCGTTGGCGAGAAAGTATTGCTCTACTCGTTCAACTTAGGCAAGCCAGTCGTCGAAGGCTTCTATCCTTCCAATCGGCATATTGTCCTAGGCCTGAACGTCTCTTTTGTGCGCTCTGAAAATCTCATCGCCAATCTGTTGTGTTTCACGGATTTAAGTCAGACGAAAAACTACAACTCAATACAAACTCAACGTCTACATTTTCAACATGGCGGTTCTCAAATCTACAACTTGCAGCTAAATACAGGAATTGCACCGACCTGTGATTGGAAGTTAAAAATAGCATTAGTCACGCTGTTGAGCTCAAGAGACTTGTAGATCACGTAGGCATTTGTGATCGAAAGTTATGTTAGCATTAAAAATCTTTCCTTTTTTCAAATCAAATAAACACAGACTTTTATATTATCGCTGGAAGAGAAATTTTCGGGTCAAATCTACTTCGGTAAAGGGGTAAATTTATGGCGTGGATTTGCT